TCAGCCGGAGTTGTGACTCCCAAACACGGTCCTCATGTCCCAGCTCCTCCGTCGCCATCAAAGGCGAAGGGCTCTTTGTTCGGAGGATGGGAGCTGCTAATGAAGGCTTCAATTACGGTGTCCAGGCGGGAGGGAGAGCAGGAGTCACTCGCTCCTTTCCAAAGGCAGCGCCGGGAGCGTGGACGGAGCTTGGGCTCCCTTTGATGTGATAATCTCACCCCTTGGCAGGAATGCAAACACGAACAGAGGGCTGAGGAGGGGATGCAACASCAGTGCCGTGCTGGTTTGTTGGCCAGCATAGGGAGGCAGCAGGGACTCAGGGGCAAAGCCTGGACGCTSTTCCCGAGAAGCAGAGACCTGTCCCGACAGCCAGGGCTGCTTCTCCAGCACTCACCGCCACTGCCCCACTCCGGCCACMTTTGGACACCACGGACGGAAGAGGYCAGGGATGGACACTCATCACGGGGCCCGGAAGCTGCGGAGAACATGCCAAGAGCTTTGGGGAAATTACCCAAAGGGAGGGAATAGTCACCCAGGCAGGATAAACAGGACAATACCCAGCCTGTGCACGGGGATCTGTCACAGGCAGCATACAAGGAAAAGCCCAGACATTTTCCACTTGGAGCCCCAGGAGGGAGGGAAGTAGGACGACCATTTTCCAGAAAATTCTGACATTTTAAAATTCTTCCAAAGGCATGCGGGTAAAAGGGGGAAAAAAAAGGCACATTCATATTTTCATCCCAAAAAATCCTTTTGGAATTGTGTCTCCTAAAAAAGTTGGTACATTTTCTTTTGATACTTTAAAATGTTACATCATTATGTAATTCACAATACAAAATATGCTCTTGGAATAAAAATGTGCTTGAAAGGAAGGATTTTTAAAGAACTTTTCTCAAAAGCAGAAGTCACTGACGTGGACAATTCATAAAATCTGATTTCAGTGAAACAGCTTCCAGAGAAATATGGAGGAAGGTATTCATTGTCCCTGTGTGACCTAGGCTATCTCAGCCCAAGGTGGTTCGGGGGTCTCCTGTGCCCTGAGTGAGRGGGAACTGCACTCCCTGCAGCTGTGCCACTCCTTTGTTTTTCCTAAAATTTTTCCCAAATCAACCATTTCTCTCTGCACAGCATGGGAGGGATCTTTCAGTCTCATTGCAATATGAGAAACACCAGAGGAAAGGGTCTCCAGTTCATGGGGGGAATGGTGAGAGGAGATCACAGATTGTGGAATGTCCTGGGCTAGAAGGGACCCACAAGAATCTTTGAGTGCAGTACCCAGCCCTGCACAGACCCCCCAACAAGCCCACCCTGTGCATCCCTGGCAGTACTATCCAAACGCTSCTGGAGCTCTGGCAGCCTCGGGGCCAGGACCATTCCCTGGGGAGCCTGRGCARTGCCCAGCACYCTCTGGGGACAGAAGTACTTTTCCCTGCTCTCCAGCCTGAGCCTGCCCTTGCCCACCTGCAGCTGTTCCTTCGGGTTTTGTCACTGATCACATGGGACAATGGCTGGAGGCAAAGGGATGTTAGAGTGGACGTTGCTTGGCAGCAGCAGCAGTGGCAGCAGTGACAACCACAACAGCAGCAGCGACAGCAGTGGCAGCAGTGACAGCCACAGAAGCTGTCACACCTCATGGCCAGCAGCCAGCTCTGGAAAAGACAGTGGCACTGTCATTTCCTTCACGTCTTCACACAAATGAAGAATCAAGTTTGGACTTTAGTGAGGTCCCAGTGAGCCCTGCCACGTCCGCCAGAGGAGGGGCAGAGGTCTGGGGGGCTCCGTMCAAGGGGGGTACTGCAGGGTGGAAGGGCAGAGGTGTCCATGAGAGGATGCTGGGCATGAGGAATCAGCTACCCTGGCCCTGCCTCAGGGGAAGGAGCACCTCTGCCATGTCCCATCCCCMGCACAGCCAGCACCACTGGCACCCACTGCTCCAGCACCCAGGGACTGAGGGGACAAGGGGACAGTCTCACCCTGTTTTCAGCAGCACCAAGGAACGGGCAGGTTTGTTTCTCTTTGTTTGCCAGTAAGATGCTGAGGGCTCGTGGCTCATTCAGGGCATGTGTCAGGAACAGGGAACGAGGGGCTCCCTCACACAGCCTCAGCTGGACACAGCAGCAACAGCCAGGGCTCCACTGGGCACAGGATGACCATGGGTACCTCAACAGGTGACCACAGGCCTGTTAAAACATAAAKGAACAGCAAAAATCTATAGCTCCACATTGCAAACCTTAGCTCCTGAGTGTCTTAGAGACAGCAAAAAGGAGAAAACTAGCCTGACACTGTGATCCTTTTCTAAATTGTTTCATATCCCTGATTATTAAAAGAATGTTTTACCATCCCTGGAAATGTTCACCAAATGCTGGAAGTGGTCAAAAAGTGTGTGTATGAGGACTTGGAGACATGGTTTAGTGGCAAACACAGCAGGGTTGGATGAATGGTAGGACTTGATTGTCTTAGAAATCTTTCCAAACTAAATGATTCCTTGATTCTATATTTGAGCCAATTACATTTTCACTCTTTCTCCTGATGTCTGACTCAGAATTTGATAAAATGTAATGCTGGCACCACTGGAGAAGAAATATGATGTGTAGATAATTTTAGGTTCCAAAGGAGATGCTTCGAATGGTGATTTTGCTTTCAGCCAATGCAAGAAGCTGGACCAACACCTTTTGTTAAATAATGCATCTGGGATAATGCCTGGGCTGCAGGGAGAGGGCTGGTACACAGGCCTGCCCCCTTATACCCTGCTCCAGTGCTATTGAGTGGCTTCCAGGGGATTGCAAGCTGGGAGTTGGCTTTGTCCTGGCTCCCACATCCCAAGATGTCATTATTCTCCAGGACAGCCGCTCTGCAGATGGAGCTTTGTGTCATTCCGTGCAAATCATCTCCATTGGGAAGTACCTGCTGCTCACAGCACTGAGCCGAATGTTCAACTGATGGTCATGGCCATTGTCTGAGACATCTGACATGTGGCAAAAAAGAGCAAGAAATAGAAGAGCCAGAGGGCAGGATGKTTTGGCATGGAAGCATCCTTGGCTGTCACCTCTCTCCCTCCAGTGGCCAAGACCCCGGAGCCCAGGGCTGATTGTCACATCTCATCAGGTGGCACCAGGAATGCTGTGGCTGCATGTCCTGCCCACCCGACACCTGCCAGGCTGCCCCGACAGGATCTAAACACGGCATTAACATGCATCTTCCTGCAGAATCAGCCCCCAGACCACCTTGCTTAGAATTCAGAGTGAAGAAATAAATCAATGTCGATGTGACACCTCGGGTTTTGTGTGCCCCCAACAGTGCTGACAGTACTCTGGGGAGGGAACATTCAGCTGCTGCCAGCAGCCCCGGGGAGGGCAGGATTAGCAGCAGGATCGTGCTGATGTTGGCAGGTGAAACAGCTCCCATCATCYGGCTGCCTTGGGGAAACAAAAATTGGCTCTCAGCATCCGCTGTGGTGTGAGAGCAGCTGTGGGCAGGGTGAGTGGGCCAGCGGTGGGGTGGARCCCTCGGCACCCACTGCCATCCCTGGACAGGGTGCTGGGCACCTGCCCTGGTTTTCCCSCAAACACTTCAGGGAACAGTTCCAAAACGCTCTGTGGATGCCCACRCCTACACTGCAAACACCCCCCACTGCTGCTGGGCCCCCCTGGAGTGGGGAGGG